CCATTCTCAATGGCACCACAAATAAATCGGTGTTACTGCTTCCTATACAGGGAGACTCAGCCATGATACTGCGCTCGGCACTCCATTCTCAATGGCACCACAAATAAATCGGTGTTACTGCTTCCTTACTGTGGTGACACTGAAAGCATCTGAGCTGGTGAGCCAGGATACTTACGGATGCACATTTTGATATGGATGCAGATTTTGATAGCTCCGCATTAGGGAAAAACATAAAGGAGAGCTGAAAGCCTCTGTGTTGGGGCGGAAATACAAGGCAGCTGTCTTTTCCTGGGTTTGATTGACAGATGTAAGGCGGTGGAATAGAGCCCTTATGTTTGTGCCCCAGGGGACTGCTGTAAAGTGCAGCCACGTGATTGGTTATTGGTATGTTGCCTTTTTTGCTTTAAGGCTGTTTTGTCCCTGATATGAAAAGAGGTGATACCATCAGGACATTAAGAGCCAAACCTCTACAGTACATGCCTTTAATTGTGGTTAATAAAACTGCTAGCGGTTCATTTTGCTTTTTTTTTTTTTTTTTTTTTGTTTTTTTTTTGTTTTTTGAAGATTCATGTTTATATTATAAAAGCATCATTAGGTCATCCATATCTGATAACAAATGAATTTTAATAAGGGTAACAATGGACCTGCTTGCACATCAGCTTAACAAAAGTGTCCTGTTCATGTTAATGTGGAAAAAACAGCAGTGTTATAATGGTTTACCAGGGAAACAAGCAAAAAATGCTCTTGTATGACTCGTATGTCATGGAGAAATTTCTGTAGATTTATAAAGACCTTTGTCAGTGTCACTGCTTTCAAGACAAAGGACTAGGGCAGGTGTTTTGAGAAACAAAATGGTTTTAATGCACTAAATTTAAATGACTGGAAACGAATTGAACTGTGAGTGAATAAAACGAGAAGATCACAATGAGGAAAGTCGTAGGCTGACAGGAGAAACAACATTAATGACTGTACTGGTACAGAGAAGCACTTGTATATGAGACTGACAAGGGAGCTAATGAGAGTCAGCTGGGAGTGATTAACAGGAGGGTTAGGAAGGAAAGGTAAAACAAATGAGTAAAAGGTGGGGTTTGTTAGGGTGACACCAGGGAGGAGACGGGAGGGTCAGGTGGACATGGCAGGCGGGAAGTGACAGTCAGTGCCCCAGAAAGATGAATGAGGGCCGTGACGTCACACTAGAAAAGTGTACCACTGAATTACTTAAATATGACTGTTACTTGGCTTAATAAAGAGTATTTGGAATATTCAAAATTAATGGGGAGCATCAGCAACAGCGTATAAGAACTATTTGGTGACCTTATAGCAGTAGACATTGCACAAATCGCATGGGGACTATACAATACAAACAATAATATTATCGCGCCTATAGTCTCGCTGATGTTACCTGCAGAAACAGAAACGTTGTATTCCATTTGGCTATCTCCGGCAGATGCAATTTCTGTATATCGACTATTCGTATATAATGGAAACTTTTGCGCACGAGTTTTCTGGTTACAGTTTGTCATTCGATCATGCTGTTACTGAACATTCAAGAGAAAGATCCCAATTCCCGTTTACTCCTTTTCATGTTTTCCACAAATATAAATTTCCTTGACAGCTGTCACTGCGTATGGATTAATTACATGATGTTCATAACAATGCATGCGGAATAAATGGATATTTGTTAGGCAATCGATTTAGTAAATAAATCTGTCCGTGAGACGGGCCCCATAGATAAGACAATATCTTCAGCGTCAGGAAAATATTATCATGCTAATTCCGTTATCTTGCCACACATTATTTATCAGAGAACTTGCCTAGCTTTCCTGCCTAACACACACACACACACACAGGCTACTTCCACACACACAATTGCCCCTAGTCCCAATATGGTAGCCTGAAACAATTTCCATGTGGTCCAGAAGTTCCAGACTCAAGCAAAGCTTTCTGTTTTTTTCTTGGGGATCAAAGCATTACTAAACGTCGGGAATATGGTCATTATTGGACTTTGTCCCGATGCTCAGTCCACGGTATTGAACGATGCTCCAAAGTGAACGCATGTGAGCTGTCCAGGTGCTGAACGGTTGCACGGCAGCGCGACTGGACATATGGCTTTCGCGTTCCGCGTTTCACGCCATGCTGTGTGAGGTTGGGAAACAAAACATATGATACCGGTTTAAAAATGTCGTTGAATGATAATTCCAACGAGTTCTGATTATCCTGCATAGTACTAAAGACGGAATATTTAATTTCCGAGGTTTATTATCATAAAAATGTGTGTTGAAAATCATGTGAAAAATATCATCTGTCAAAAACACTAACATTTATTCATGCCAAATATCAAGTCAGTGCTTTTTCAGGTTTTGAAAACAGCTACGCTAAAATTACTCCCTAGAATATATTTTAATCTAATTTATGCGTTATACGTCGAAGTTGTTAATCTTTTTTTTTACCCCGCACAAAAAATAACATTCACGAAGGTAAACGAGTAGATAGATAATCAACACGGACAGCTGCAATAACAGGCAGAAGCGAGCAGCATGTAGAAGAATGCAGAAAGGGGTGGGCTTCGCAGTTTTTGGTCTCTGGGCTCTGCGCTGCACGAAAACGGCTTTATTTGTGGAAAAGACGGCGAAGTGTCAGGCCACTCGTCCTTTTTTGAATAACTTACACACCGACCGTGGATCGCTACCTTCTTTCCTACAACTATTTTAGGTTACAGAAGCACTTTAATGTGAGGCACGCTTGTAACTCGCTAGGCGCATCTTCTCTCCTCTTCCTCCCTGGTTCTCTCCGATACTCGGTTGCTTGCAGTTAGATTATCTACTCAGGAACTCGACCAGCACAGGACTGTGCGAATTGCGGAGCGGCCCCGAGTCCCGGAGCGCATGTACGGCGGCGTTATGGACAAATCGGAGGACATGGCTTCAGTTTGCGAGTTCGATCCAGGGACGGGCAACATCCCTGCCACCAAAGTAGAGATCACCGTTTCCTGCAGGTGAGCCTGTTACGCTGATCCAGATGCTACTGGTTTAAGTGGGATTCATGCTCCAGACTTGAAAAGCATTAAAACCGCTGTGAGGATCTGGGATCCCAATAATGCTGCGTTTCACTTGGTTTATATAATGACTATCGGGATCTGTTTCAGCTGCAAAACATGTCTAAGTTCAATGTAAAAGCTTAATTCAAATTGTGATTAGGCAACTGCTGGTCATCTATAGATAGTAATCTATACATAGTGTATTGGTAATCTTAACAGAATAAGCATAAGGATACTTCTCTGTCTGGTGTCTGAAGCTTGACGGTAAGATGAAACCTTGGCGGAAGGGGTGTCTTATAAGTCTGATTTCTAGGCTTTCTATCGTATACAGTTTAAAGTTCGGCAGGAATGTTTTATGGGTATAAAGCATCGGGATACTTTACTGAAGTGATTTATTTTCAATTTTCCCCAAAGATTTTCCGTAAAGTTCTCGGTTGCTTATGATTTATAAAAATTGTTATACTGCAATTGCATTTCCTTACAGTTTCGTTTAAACACCCACTAACTGCAGCACAGCTTTTCTGCAGGTTTGCGTACTGGGAATGAGGTCTGTTCCCAGTGATTTTGCGGCTTAAATAGCGCTGAGCTCTTTTAACTTGTGTTGCTGGGAAGGGTTAGAATGAGAACCTTCCGGCTTGATTTAGGACAAAAGGGGATTGTTCATTAAGTTTAAAGTGAACTAGCATGTAAACATTAATAGCGATTATTACAGTGCAGAGGTAAATATGTGCTGCTGCTTTAGGGTGTAAAAACTTTGCAAGCTGCTTTTAAATAATTGCGAGCTGTATTCACTACAGGTTAGTATTTTTATGCCTATAAGCACTTCCAGTTTATTTTCAGGGGTCGCCTATTGGCATATTTTGTTGCTGTGACTAAGTCCCGGTCGTAGCTGGGACGTACGGTGGCGGTAAGCAGCAGTACTGGCTGTCGGAGCGGTCAGGCCTGAATCCGTTTGTTATGACTGAGGGCGGATTGTCCCCGCCCCCCGTGGCCGTTCTCACACCTCCTACATACCCGCCTGACAATTTCCCTAACGTACAGTCAACAGTGTGATGTAATCGCTAATAGCTTTCTTGTATTATTGCCATTATTACTTTGTTTATTTATATAATCTATTTATATAAATAGTGCCACAATTTAAAACACATTATACAGTGGGTGAAAGTATGAGTGAAAGTGTTCAGCAAAGCATCAGACTTTACTGATATCTAGTAAATGGGTGACAGTGTAAGCTTCCCGCTACTGATGTATTTGTCATAACCAGGACTTTGCGACAGTCCCTGCAGCATCAGTCCTGCAGTGTCAGTCCTGCTTCCACTTCACCTGCCATTCCTAAAGGTACCAAATTCGGCAGGCCTGTTTACCGTGATTCAGTTTGGGCCAGTGTGTAGATTTCGTGAAAGTGGGGACTGCAGCTTCTGGGTACCTGGCTGTGCCGCGAGGTGAGCTGTGAATGAAACACGCGGGCATTTCTTCACATTTCTGCAGTGGGTGTCTTGTCACAGCCAAGTACTCTGATTAAAAACATCAGGGGATGCCTATGAAACGTTAAAGAGCCCGGGATTCCCCTGTTATGCAGCAGAAAGCTAAGGACGACCTACGGCGCTGCGTGGGTGGCTCCCATTCCGCCATGAGCCGGTCCCCTTGCTTTTGGCTGTTTCCTGCAGTTTGGGCCGTTTCCTCTTTCTATGCATTGGTGCAGACATCTTCTATAAGTATGTGTTTATCTTTTAGTTTCCTGGGCGTGTTGAAGCTTTACTTTTGCAACTTTGTCTTGCATGTTGGTAATTCTGCTGTACCCCTGATGCGTGTAATCATTGCCGTGGTATGCTGCCATTTCCCTATGGCGGGTTGCAGTTTCTGCCTAGTGTGCTGCTGTCTTCCCAATCTGTTCCTTCCTTTCATTTCCTTTGTGTGCCGGCATTTCCCGTTGCATTGGTGTTTCCCTTCGCACACATACATATTTCTTTCTTGAATGTCATCCATCCTCTTTCTCCATGGAGTACATAACAAGGCCTCACCCATGCTGATAGATTGTCCAGGATGTCGTTCATATGAATGACAGACTAAGGTCTGTTGATGATGCAAGTCAGGTAGATGGCAGATGACCCCCCTGTATGAGCGAGATTCATTACCGGCCACTTCTCTGTGTTCTGCATTGTTACACTGTTTCAGTGACACATACATTGTTAAATGCATGCTTTCTTGCTGTCATCGCCTTGGATACACTATCATCAGGATGCAAAGCCTCCATGGTCTCCCTAGCTGCTAAGGATGCCGGTTATTAAACACCTGAGTGGCACAGCTGAGTCTGCATTGCAGCAGAAGTGTTGGGGGGGGAGACACCTGCAGGGCTTCGCATATCAATGGCACTGACTTTGCATCTGCCAGCTTAATGACGAGTTGGGGGTGTCTGGCCGAATCGGTGGCCTTCTGAGCTCTGCCTGTGAGAGCCGCTGCTAAGTGACAAAGCCATGGCTGTCCCTGCTGCTCTTTCTGCTGCGGGCTGAACTGACATTGTGATCAGGGCAGCTTAAGACGTCCCGATCCAATAACACGCTGCGTCAGTCATGGCATACCCTGTCTAGTAGTGTGGCACTTCGTGGGTGATGCAGCGCAGGCCAAGGGAAGCGACTACTGGTGCTCACCGCTGTGCAGGAATCCGATTGGAACAGAGCTCTTGTCTTTCTACGACTCACTACCGATGATGTGCTTGTTTGCAATTGCGATGTAGGTATGATAGCAGTGATTCTACAGTAATAATTATAATTAGGAACTCGGTGAGGACCAATCACAGTAGTACCTGCAGCTTAACAAGGACCAGTTAGAATGACATGCACAAAACGGAATGAAATCTAAACTGGACATACGACGTCATGCAGCATGAAGCCTAATCAGGTGTTATTGTGCAAATAAGTTCACATCTATGTGTGTGTGTGTATGTATGCATGCATTCACACATAGAAATATTTGCATATATTTATTACCTATGAGCTTATCTGTCCAGCCGATAAAAACAAAATAACAAGACATTTGCTTGTGTGCCACTTGTGGTTTCAAGCTTCAGGTTCGCCAATCAGCAGGCAGAAGGGCCCTGCAGTAGGGGCTGTGTGATCAAAAGGTACGAGGCACCATGCTGGACTTCAAAGCTCTAGGAAAACAGCTCTCTTCTGAGGAAGAAACGAGGGCTGCTCAGCCGTACGACTCGAGGGCACCCTGCAGGTGCAATGCCTGGATTACTGATGTCAAGCGCGATAAACAAGCTGTTAGACCTGGCTGGTGTCTCATGGCGATGCGCTATCCTCACGAGGGTCAGTGGATTTTAAGGTGGATAAGCTTAATAAATATGTCTAGAGCTGCATATGTGTTGGTTCATAGCTAGCAGGCAGGATACTGTGGGGCCCTGTATATATTTTTAGAGACTGTTGATTTTGGTCGTGCCCACCCTTGCTGGTGTGAGCCCTCCTCTTTGATCAGTTTCCTCCTCCATTCGTTCCTCAGGGATGATCTCCCTCCTTTATTGGTTATTCCCTCTTTCAGTCATCACATCATTGGCCAGACTTTACCTTGTCTGTCGTACCCTCCCTCATTGGTCGGTACTCTTATGAGTCAGGCCTGTTGCTTCCTCCATCACAACAGGCTGATATTACTTCACACAGAAATATGCAGTTACCCGAGTGCCAAAATTTTACAAAAACCCAGCGCACAGCTGCCTTCATAGCTGTCGGTCTCTTTGTTTTTCCTAATCCCATGAGCTGTCTCTCTCATTGGGAACCTGAGGAGTGCTTAACCACAAGACCAGGAGTAAAAATGTCTGGGCGGCAGAGCCTCGCTTACAAACACACATAGCAGCAGCGGTGTGCTGGGTGTTCTCTGTCCTTTCCAACAGGCTACCTCCGAATTATCATTTGGCACATCACCTGTGAGACAAAGCCAGCACTGGCTAAAAGAAAGCATGTGACCAGGGACAGCAGTGGTGACTCCCATGAGGTGGCCTGCTAGCTGATGCTGCTGGGGATGCACGGTGTAAACGGTGGGAGAGGCCGTGCAGCAGGAGTGTGGTGTGTGGGATGCAGAGGAAGGCTGTGCGTTGCACAGTTTGAGGCAGGGGATGCTATTAGGTTAAGTATCCACATCTCCATTTCCTCTGTGCTATGTCTCACATTCATTAGCATTTCTATTTGCGTGTGGTACATGGTCATATTACCTGCATGTCGTGTATGATTGCTAAGTTTCTCTGTCTTTGTATTTGGTTCAATATATGTTTTTGCAAGGGTTGGAACTCCAGTGAGTGGGAGGCAGGGGTGTGTGCTGGTTGCTATGAGTTACAGGAATTATGTGTGTATAATGGGGAGGGGCACAGTGCTGTGGTTCACTGGAATGTTTGTGTGTCTGCATACTGAGCCCTGGGCATCATTGGGGGTGACAGTCTGACTGCAGTGTGGCTAACTTTGTGAGATATACAGCTCTGGGAAATATTAAGAGACCACAGCAACTCCTTTCTCAGTTTATGGGTCTGCGTCTGTATAAAATGTACATTTTTTTTTTTGTAAATTCCAACCTGACTCTTCTCTGTCATTAATGAAGGGCTTCTTCACACCTGCACTTAATGTTTCCCATTTCTTTTGAAGGTCACTTGATGTCCTCCTCCGGTTCGTGAGGCACCGTTTGATAAGTTGACTGTCATCTCTGGCATGAGCAAGTCTCTTCTGCCCTCTGACTGGCTGGTTTTTGGTTATTGCCAGTGTCTCCTGCTTCACCTTGTTTTTGTGTACTGTGGTCTTAGAAATATTGAGCCTGGAATCACCCTGCTGCTCAGAGTAACCTTCTGCCAACAGAACCAGGATTAAATCAGGATTTAACTTTGCAGAGTGATCTCCATATTTTTTTTCCAAAGCGAGGTGGGAGGTGGGAGGTGGGGGCAGAGGACCGTGGTGTAGAGCTGTTCGTGATGTTGG